TGTGTATACGCAATCAATTGTGTGGCAAATCCCTGGCGGCAGTGCTCGCATGCATGTTTGATACTCACCACGTGTTTATGGTCCTGGAGCAAATATTGATGGCAATGGTTGGCGTCTTGGAGGTTCGCTCTCAACCACCATGACCTCCTACTGGCTCGTCGCGCTGGATTCCTATTCACATCAGTTCCCGTGGGGGCAATTTTTACCAGACTCCACTGACTGGTCACAACGCGACGTAGCCAACATAATCACATATGGTGCTCCAAGCTTTCAGTCGTCCTAAGATTCAAGTAGAATGTGATCGGACCCTTATACCTTCATCTCACTGTACTCGACCCTCTATGAGACGCAACATCGTGCCTCGTGGGAGCCTCCGACATCAGGTCAGTGGACGATATTGGTTTGCAATATCCCAGGGAAGCCTCTGCGACCTCTGACGGCAACTCCCGCTATGATGATGACCACGTCGTCCCTCCGAGGCTGGATCCAGGTCTCATGCCTTATGACTATGTTTGCCTTTACATCCTTGCAAACATTCCTTGTACTACCATGCTCACTTCTTATAGGTAGAGGCGAAGGTGTCCGGAATGCTAGACCACGTTGTTGTACCTGCCCAGTGGGTAGTCCTTGCTGCGGAGTGAAGCCGTAGCTGCCCAGAACCACAATCACCACAACGCCTGGGATATATCGGGTGCATCCGACTCACACCATCGCAAGCTGGTATGTAATACGGGCCTCATTTTTCTCTAACGCTCCGGTCTTGTCCTTTTATAGTATACGTTGTGTACGTCTTCTCGTTCTGAGTCAGCTGCTTCATGCGACCTGCGATATACCGCGGTCCACTAGTACTGATACGACCTTCAAGTCCTCCTCAAGGCTCTACTGCGCACGAAAGAAGTATTTATCATCTGTTGTTCCGAAACAGGAAATAATTACCCCCCCCCCCCTTCTCTCTGAAGAACCAATGAGTACAACACGAACCTTAGCTTCATCGGAGGTGCACATGGGAAAATCAGAGGTACGTCCATCGCTTGCTGGGTCCTTCACGTTATTTGTTGTGTCCCTTCCCCGCATTCGTGTTACATATACTTATCTAGGACGGTGGCAGGTTCGATATAGTCAAGTTCAAGGGTTGACACCTTGACATTTTGAAGGCTTGACGTGGGCTGGCCGCATGGTTTCCTGTGTTCTTGCCTCACTTGCCATGCCGATATCAATGCGCAACATGGTGAGTAGCGCCGTCGGGCGGTTCTTCCCGCGAGTCATGATGCATGAACCGCGCCCGAGGTCGGGAGGTATCATGGCTCAGAATGCGTATGGTCTACCATTTCACTGGTTGATTCGCTGATTCGTGCGAATTCCCAGGGGGTCAATTCTGTCGGCCATAGCGGATGTCCCTTCTTTGGCAGAGAAAAGCCCTAGCCTCATGCAGCGCCGCCGTTCGCTTATAGAAGGGGGGAAGTCCGAGACCCCCCTGGCAGACAGAAGAGGCTCTGAGCCGGCAACAGCGCATGGCCAGTGCTATATTTGCGCTGAGGATGCCAAGGAGCGGGACAACCGTGACGCTTCGTTGGTAGACAGCAAGGACACCTTCAGTGCAACTGCTCATCTGCCTCAAGCTGCAGCGGCTACTTATACCTGGAATGGATCATCATAGTGCCCGCCCGGGCATATCTCATGATACCGACGAAACGAACAAGCCGCTGGAATCTCACGCCCGTCTGGTTCGAGACCTTAGGCCTCAGCGCCAACCTGATTACTATTGACTTTGACGTTCTTCTGTTACTCACTACGTGGTATCCCATGCGTCCGCAGATAGTTCAAAATTGTATAATCGGCCTCGCGGCACCCCACAGGACCTGTGACCTTTCGGGAGTTTGGGCAATCTGACTGCTTTGGTACGTCCGCCACTCGAGGCATGTCGTATACTGGCTTCTTTGATCGGCGAATCCTCACATATTGCTGGCTGCCAACTGTCACCACCTGTCGGTGCGCTAGTACCGGTCGGCCTCCGCAATATTCCAACCCTCTCAGTGATATTCCCGGACCGGCTGCGGACGGTTTGTGGCTGGTAGAATATCAGTGGACGGATAATCATGCTGCCGGGGGAATTACCGCACCAATAATGCCCAAGACGTCGCGGACTTGGTGTATGCCAGCGTTAGCGTCCAGCCAAGCCGCCGGGAGAGCGCCGTCTGTACGTATACCGCGTATCCAGGTCCCGAATGCCTGCTGACCTTGACAAATGGATCGTCCTTCCATGCAGAAATTTTGCGAAACCACCGCATCATGTCTCCATTCCCTGGTTGTACCCAACCATCGGCGTACGCGGGCGCGTTCAAAGGACGTGAGAGGCCTCAGGCGACAGATCCGGCCCCCATCTCCGACGCCTCTGTAATTCCGCCTGTCTCTTCTTGCCGGAGATGAAGCCTGGAGGACTTCTGGCTGACGTATTAGGGAAACAAAGGGAACGGACACACTGGTCACGATCTATCCACAGAGGACAAGGTTATCCGTCCGCAGACACCGACTTACGAGCGACCTTGGACACGTACGTGAGAGGGGCGTGTACGACGTCAGTGCGCCGCGCAACGGCCGTACCCATGTACAGCTCCGGTGTCGCAGTGAGTTCACTGGATGTGGATTCAGCGGCGCTGGGTACATTCTGGCCCCCTGAATTACCACCTGATGGGTACGGGTGTCTGTCGCATGCCGTCAGAACCGCAGAGGTGTCTGGGAGGCGCGTAGCATGACTGCTTCTCCCGTCAAATTATACGTGTGTGACATGCGATGAAAACCGAAAACGATCGTCCAGAGGCGGCCGCGGACTGAAGACGTCGGGGACGCACCTTGGCGTCCGATGTGCAGCCTCGTGACAACAGGCACGGGATGATGCTTGAGAGCCACGTTCTCGTATTCTTTATAGTACAGGGGCCGCGTTGAGCTAATATACAGTGCCTTGGTATCTGGCCCGGTTTAAGTAGTGAGACAACACAAGCGGAATGAAACCTTCTATACAAGATGACAAGCGGAGGCAGTAGAGCTTCCTCCCAACGACAATTCTCTTCTTCGCGATGTGTGGACACTAGACGGCGCGAAGCGCCTCCTCGAGGGGTGCGGCCATTTCTTCGGGGTTACCGACCCAACGGACAATCCCGTCTTTTGGGGAGATTATGAACGCTGCAGCCTGGAATCAACACCACCGAAGAGAGTTTCATTTAGCTTGGGAACGGGGCACGTACCTAGCGGAATGGACAGATTTTCACCAGGCCGGAAGATCGCTGCGATAAAGAAGGCTTAGTCAGCATACTTCTCGACAGTGCGGGCGCGTCCCCGGCTGGCGTTGTGCGCCAGGGACAGGAACACCTACAGGTCAGTGCGACTCGGTGTGTATCGATGTAGACGGGGTAGTTCATGTCGTCCCGCGCTGCGATGAAGGCCTTGACCGCGGCAACGTTGATGGGCGCGTTTGTGAAGATGCCCTCGGCGTTGAACGTGATCACTTTGATGTCCGGGCGTGTCTGAGCAAGCGTGGAGAGGTCCCGGAATACCGCGAGGCAGGGCTGGGAAAACGCGGGAGTCAGTCGAAGGCAATTAAGCCGTGTATGTCCCATATCGCACGTACCCTGCACCAGCTGCGCACGAAGAAGATCTCGGGGTCAGTAATCGCCCTGATACACAGCATGAAGATGCGCAGAAGGGCAAGGGTGCACACGCGGCATGACGCGGGAGCGCGAAGCCGAAGAGGCGAGCTGGAAGGTGGGCGAAGCCGCAAACGGCGTACGCCACCTCGGAAGCCCGGGAGAGACATGTCCACGAGGCTCAGCGTAGCAATTGACGCAACGCGCTACCGAACTTCTGGTGTCTCTTAGACTCCCACTGCATCGCGAGCGCGATTGTGCCCCATGCGCGACAACGAGAGAGGTAAGCGGAGTACGTACGAGGCCCATAGCTCTATCACGAGCAGCTTTGCCGTCTTCCATCCGTCCATATTGCCCTTCACGTGCTCGAACTTGCCCGTGTCAAGCCAGCGGAGGTCGACCTGCTTCCCGAGCAGCGGGCTCTTCCATCCGGGACGCAGAAACGGAGGCGGGCCTTTTCTGAACTGCGCCTCGAGAGCATCCCACGCGGGGAGCTTGGCCCTCACCCAGAATCGTTGCACAACAGCGGGGTCGTGTGCGGCCTTGAATCTGGCTGGGAGGTAATCAGCGGATATTGCCCAAGCACCAGTCCAAGGACTGGACTGACCGACGGCTACGCTCCAACGCGCTGTCGGCCCTACATTAGTGTAGTCGGGACGGCGGAGGACGGAAGACGCACCTGAATCCCACTTGTCTTCATAGAGCTCCTGAAAGACGGACCAGATATTCGTCCGGAAGTCAGTCTTGACGGCGATTTCCTCGGGAGTTTCGGGGAGGATAGCGGCCATTGTAGGGGCTTATCGCAAGAGGATGTTGGGCTCAGGGGGCAGGTAACGGCACGAACAAGTGTGTGTACTGAGCTCGAAATGACCTGGACGTTCGCGCGAGTCAGCAAGAGAAAGAGCTGAATATAAGTACGGACACAAACCGGGTGCTGTTACGCTGTCAGCAGCGAGAAGCTGTCAGGAGGAACCGGGAGGATGTGAGGGGGAAGGCAGGGTTCATGGAGGCTGCGGGAGTCGGAGCGCGAGCGGCGAAGGAAGTGGCGGAGGACCAAGTATGTATAGAGGGCATGGGCAGGGATGAGAGAAGGAAGGTTTCATTGATGCCGTACCGAGAACGTTGGAATTCTGTTTGCTCGATCTGCAGACGCACAAGAGCGCACAACTCTGTCCAGGCCGTTAATCAATCACTTCCCCCCGGCGTCTCTCCCAGCCCGTGTTATCGCGCGCCCCTGGGAACTCCGAGCCAAGTTTCTGGCAAGGTTTCATAACCGTGCTCTTTCAACGTCCGTTCTCCCTGCGGCCACCAGGGAAATTCTTTCTTGATCCTGTACTTGGCATCAAGGGCAAAAAGTGCTGGACGTTGAGGGGTTTGAACCCTCGACCTCATGCAATCCAATTACATAACCTTGGGTTACACAATGCAAAGCAGGCGCGCTACCACTGTGCCAAACGCCCATGAAGGGGTTACCTGCATCATACAATATAGCCGCAATAGAGCGAGGGCTGACTCCCCGATGGTCAGAAACCTCTGCTACATGCACATATGTGATCCGTCAACGACCCGTGCGCGATATGTCATAAGATGCATATGGTCGCTATCGTAATGTCCTGGCAAGCCTCCCGCAATCCGGAACCATTCATATATGAGATAGTATACACATCCGCCACTTGGGACTCTTCGATCGGAAAGTGGTTCCTGGATTGCAAAACTCCATGCGGTTCAGAATCATAATCACAACCTTAGCAGACGCACCAAAAGTGTGATCATCTTCTGGCTTGCGCAGATTCACTGCGTTGCCTGCGTCCCTTTGCCCTTGGCACTAACCCATGGCCAGAGGACAGGAACATTCCTGAAAGCAGAGGTCAGCTACGGATGATCCAGGCAGAAGTCATGGCCAACTAAGACCGCAGCTTGAACCTAGCTGGAACTTGCCAGCATGGCAGCAGTCCGCCATACGGTGTGTTCAGATGTAGGCCCTACTCGGTGCTGTGACGTTCATATTTTGCATCTCGCGAATTTCATGGCTACATCACCGATGTTCTGGACAGAAACCTCGTGCTTGAGAACGAACGGGAGAAGCTCTCCCGTGATTGGGTACTCCGCAATTGGGTATATGCAGCGCGAGTTGAGTGGGCCGGGGCCACGCACTCGAACCCCGTGGGATCATTGAACGAAGCCAGGAATGCAGCGGAGCATCGACGAGCGACTGAAGGACAGCAGACTTAGGGACTCAAAAGAAACTCACCGCTTGTATTCCTGCCATTTTGGGTCCTCCCCATACTTCTTATCCCCCGCAGCCTGATCAGAAACTTAATCAGTGACGGTACGGGCGTCGTAACTCGAAATCGCGTACCTCAAGCATCGGAACCCCAGACACGCGTGTCAATACGAACCATGTCAGAAGCGGACTCGCTCCCGCCATCAACCACGCTCCCCTCGGGAAGAACGGCGAGCGCAGAGACCGGCACGACAGTAGCCACATTCCCGTCCACACACCGATTTCGCCAACGTAGCTGTGGAATATCGATGGCTTTAGCTATCCTTGACATTATGACGAGTTGAACAAACATGACATGTACGTACTTCGGGTGGCGACTGATCCCCCACAGACCTTTCGTGATAAACTTCTCATCGTGCGTCTTCTTATCCTTCGCCTGCCGCCAGGCCTTCTTCTGGTAATCTGCGACTTTTTGTTGGTCAGTATCGCAACTGTCAACGGAACGGTGTCGTTTCAGTACATACCAAGTTCAAGCACCCACGAACCGGTCCACAACGCGAGACCGAAGTAGTCGAGTGGGCCCAGTTTTGGTTGATTGGCCGGAGCTAACGTATTGACCTGTAGGTGGTCACGTTCGGAACGCCGCAATTGAACACGGACGCTGATAGAATGCCACAGACCATGTAGACGGGCAAGCCAACTACGAGGATCCATGTTGCTGCACTGCGTGTTAGCTGGAAAGATTTCATGACAGACGACGCATGTACACACCTTGCGCCATCCAGAACGCGGTGAACTTAACGGGTTGGTGCTTAACCTCATCGAAGCGTGAGTCACCCCCTGATTTCAAGGCTCTCTGGAGATACAGTAAATGGTTTCAGCTGCGGAAAGGGGCATTTTTGCACGCTCACAGAGAAGAGATATGTTCCAAGCCTGGCAGACCACGCGAGGAGAGCAGCATTCAACAGGATTTGCCTGGGCGCAAAATAGGTGATCGACGGAAGAGTCGCAGTCGGAATACGGTCCCAGAACTTCGCCTTGAGGTGAGGAAAGTAGAGTGAGAGCAGAGTGGTGGATATAAAACCCGCTGATCCTCCCAGGTCGTAGAAGATGTCGTTCGCCTGCGGGACGAACACTAGAGCGAGGACTGACATAGCCAATCAATCAGCGTTCGTTCCGACACCGTCCGCGTCAGACGCGTTGAAGTTACCTGACTGAAGCCCATACGCAGAGACAATAGTGGGAAGCAGCTTCGAGAACAGCGGCATTCTCTCTGAGCGGGGCGTGTGCGGGAGATGGTGGTGGGAGCTGTTCAAAGCTGAGGACAGCAAACCCTCTTCGGACTCGCTGATGATCAAGGTCAAGCGTTTGTTGGACGCGTTTGGATGCACGGTCACGTGAAGTACGATCTTGGTCGTGAGTGACGTCACCGTGGTTTCTGGCGGAAGCTTAAGTGCACTGAGTGACGCCCGATATATGCATGAGGGAGGATGAGGGAAGTGTTTTACTCCGGACCAAAGTACTGTTAATTGCATATCGTCTAGACGTGCGTTCAGAGCAAGATCTCCAGCTCCGAGTCTACCACAAGCTGTTCCCCTTTCCATCCCGTCATGGCCGCACAGGACCAGGCCCAGAAGCACAAACCGTTCCCAGACACCGGCTGGCGGGCTCCAATCCCAAGTCAGAATGGAGGCACTGAGGAGGAGGACTTCATGCATAAACCACCGTATGCGTGGAAGAGCGAGGGTGACTTGTTCAACCCGAAGTACTATTCGTGAGTTCACCACTTGTCATCCTTTCACCTCCAAAGCTCACGCTCGCGCACAGCCAGTGCTGGTGCGGCAACGTCGCGTTCGAGTTCCACGGCGACCCTATAGATGCCAAGCACTGTCACTGCGAACAGTGTCAGCATTTGCATGGCGCCCCATTCCAATGGGCCGTCATCTTCCCCAAGGTGCGTTTTCCCTATCTCTGCCGCATGGGCGGACTGACTGCTGAAGCTTCTTCCAGACGTCTGTTCGCATGGTCAAGAACGAGAACAACAGTCTTCACTTCTTCTCAACACGGAGACGCAAAGGCATCCACGATGTTCCGTGCAAGGTAGGTTGTCTGGCTTTGACTTCTGCGAGTACTGTTTACTAACCGGTATATAACAGGTCTCCTGCGACGAGTGTCGATCTCCGATCTTCGACGAAGGTCGCAACACGGTTCTGGCATACCCTTCTGCGTTCAAGTTCCCTGACCGCAAGGTGCCTCTCGACTTCCAGCCAACCGCGCACATCTTCTACAGTCAACGCGTCATGGAGGTGCCTGACGGTGTGCCCAAGTGGTCAGGACATAAGGGTCAGAGCGAGCTGATGCCTGAGCTCACCACTAAGAAAGGGTAGGTCACCCTGTTATTGTGCAGAAGGACGGACCTAACGAGTGGCACTTTTGCAGGACGATGCCGAAGTACAAGGGCAAGCCGCAGGAAGGCCAGGTGGACGAACCTTCCAAGATTGCTCAACAGCAGTCGCAGTGAGTGCATATATGCATGAGCTTCGAAGCTCAAACTTTGAAACTTGGAACCTTGAAGCATGACCGGAAGGTAATCACGAATGAGGTTACATCACCCAGCGAGCTGTGGAAGCATACGAATACAGATCGCACGTATGCAACTGCAGTGACAAAAGACAATATCTACCGTATGATACACATTCCTACAGCATAGAGCCCAATTCAGTACGCATGAGTATAACGTAGTACACACACCAAAGGAACGTCATGAATCCATATCGTCGTCGGGTTCTCCCTCTGCGTCCAAGTCCTCCTCACCCTCCGCATCCTCGTCTCCGCCCTCGTCCACCTCCGCGCTGGCATTTGCAGCAAGCGCACTCGCTTTGCGGTCGGCGAGTTGGCCAGCTGCGAGCCTGGCTAGCACATTGAGCGCCTCCAAGTCGTTGTCTGACAGACGAGGCTCAGGATGAGGCGACGCCTTGCTTGCGTGGTCTCCGCCGATGATTGTATCGTCGCTGGGAACGCTGTGCCTGCTCGCAGCTGTGGCTCCGGTCACGGGTGTGTCCACGTCCTCGGGCTCTGCTGTGGCGTCGCCGTCCGTCATGGCCGCCATGTCCCCGTTGACAGATACTGCGGGTACCAACTCCTCCTCCTCCTCTTCCTCTTCCTCACCTACCGCGATGGCCGTGGACCTGGCGGCAGAGCGCCCGTTCATGAACCTCGAAGATCTCCGAGACGGGGTCTGAGGCTCAGATCTCCGGTCTACCGCTGAGCTATCCCCGTTGCGCCCGATCCGGCGGGAAACAGGCGTCCTTGGAGTTGGTGTCATCTCGACTTCGGGAGAGGAGTCAACACGCCTCCGCTTCTTCGGAGAAACAGAGCGTGAAGAAGGAATAAAGTGTTTCTGGACCAGCGATTGTTGATCGGTACTCGATCGCCTGGCCCTCAGCTGCCGCCGAGGGTGGTCAAGCTCCATGGCCAGTCTCGCGGCAAGGGCAGCATCGTCGTCCAAGGAGGGCCTCGTGCCGTTTCCGCTCAGGTCGAGCGAGGTCGCAGGGTCATCGACGTGGCGGGGCCGCAGCGGGTTGCGACGTCTGTCCACCTGCGAAGAGGTATCTTGGCGGGGTGTGTGCAGCCGGCGGCGCACCGGCGTCGACTCACTAACGGAGTCCCGCGACCGCAAACGCCGAAGGGACGGGGGACCCGCAACCTCTCGTCCATTGCTTCGTTTCATCCGATTCTTCTCCATAGACTCCGCGTCTGGGGATCGCGCACTACTGCCGCCAGCATCTACGGTCTCCGATGGGCCACGATCTCGTGACGCACTCGCACGTACAATCTCGACGTCGTCGTCGTCGAACAGCGCGAACGCAGGCGAGCGCGTCTTCTCGACTAGTGTCCGCGCCTCCACAGAGGACTCTGCGCAGTCGATCGCCGATTCTGACGGCTGGACGTCCGCGCTGGCGCTCCGAGTCGCGTCGCCCTTGGACTGGCCGAAGGCGGGGTCGCCGTCGGACGACTGCGTCTTCTTCGCGCGCGAGAGGATGAAAGGACTCCACTTCAACATCTCCGGTTTGAGTTTTAGATAGCCCTTCGCCTCCCAGCGCGCGAGGTACTCGTCGACCTGCTCGGCATCCCAGCGCACCTTGTACCTGGTTGGCGGCACGAAAGGACCTTTCGCCTTCTCGTCGTCGTAAGTCTGAGTGCGCTGGAGATGCTTCCTGGCAATGCCGTTCTTGC